GGTAAGTGTTTTACGGCGCTCGCAACTGCATAAGGTCATATGTGCGCGGGACACATTAAACTTTTTCAGTTGGTAGAAAATTTTGAATTTTGCCCGGGTTATCGATTTTAGACCACCAAGGGATCTTTAACGTGCGCAACTTGCGATGATGTGATATTGCGATTTTTCACCCTTGTCCGAGAAGGCTGGGTGTAGATCTTTCTTACCAGAAAATCAGGGGTGTGGCTGAAAGACAATAAGAAGGAGCCATAGAGTAGCTATAGAAAGGCTGCAGAAAGCAGGAGCCCAGAGGAGGGGGTGGGGGCAGAAAGAGGAGACGAAAGCAGACGACAGAACATTGCCAGAGAGCAGGAAAGGAGGTGAAAGGAGACAATTTCAGAAAAGAAACTTTTTCGGTTGCTACCCGGATTCGAACCCGGGACCTTAGACTTAGAATGAGAGGCCAACACCTTGACCTCTAGGCCACGAGAGCCCCCTGATAGATGTTTGATTGGAAAGGAGCAAACCACTTTAGGACACACAAACTTTCTCTATATTTTCATATATGTGGCATCATGGTGAAATAAGACGCTCGTCAAATTACATGTAATGAAATAAAAAGACATTTTTCTGCCTACTGGGCAATTTTTATCGAACTTTTTTTTGGCTGAACACCGTTCATGTCCATTTAAAAGCACCCGTGGCAGTGCCACTGACTGTAGTGTCTTTAGGCCATTCCCAAGGGGGGGACATTTCTTGTTCAAGCATTGTAGAATTGTAAATGGGCTGATTCATGTCACGCTCATAACTGTGCTGATCTACACAACAAACTACAACAGGGAACTGCTGCTTTTTCCTTCCTGATCCTTACTATTGTCATTTTCCTCTACTTCTTTTGTATGTTTGTCACTCTCTTGTGATCTGCTATTTCCCGGGTGCCTTGATAGTCGAAACAGACCTTGTGCTGTTGAAGCTAGAGAGGTGAGCAGTCCAAGTCTGATTCCCGTAGAGCTAGTTGTTATCTCTTCTCCTTTTTTGTGTTTGTTACTCTTGTAATGTTCATCTCTAATCTTCGGCACTTATATGACCTTATTGTGTTGCAAGTGCTGTAAAACACTTACTAAAACTAAAACTAAGTTAAATTAGCTGTTTCCAAGAACACTCAGGCTATGAAAGTCACGAAACCTTGGCAGCTATTTGCTCGGTAATTTTACCTGACACTGGCCGGCTCCTACCTCCTTCATCAATTGCAGATATCTTGACTTCTATTCAAGATAAATGATTATGTCATCAAAACCAGGACAAACGAACAAGCTTATGATACCGATAACTCCATCATCCAGTGCCAGATATGTGGTTCTCCATTCATTCCTTAACCTTTGTTCGGGTGCTTTTAAAAAAGCTGCGTTTCCCTTATCTTTTCCCCTTTACCGCTTTGTTTAGGTTCCCTAAGTAGGTTGCTCTGGGCCTACCCCTGCCCCATATGCTTAAACTGATGAATTCCTGTCTCCATTGCGTCATGATAACATACAAAGGCATCATGATGAAATCAGGTGCTCGTCAAAATGATGAAATCGGATACATCGTCATTTTCCCTCCCGTTTGGTAATTTTTATGGAAGTGTTTACATGTATTTTTTAGCTCAATACCTTTTATGTTCATGTAAAATTAGTAAAAACATTTCTTAGTGACAGGGGCGGACTGTTAAAACCGGCCCGGGCATTTGTCATCCATACTGGCCCACTAAGGCCTAGTAAAACACGAAAAGCCGACATGTTTCTAAGCCTCCACACTATTACTATAGTTAGAGTTAGCGCACAGAAACAGACAAAAACACCCATGTTGTATTTTTGTGTGTTTGTATATGTGCGCGCATATTTGTGTGTGTACGTGTGAGTGTATGTATGTATGTACAGTCGAACCTGCCTTAACGGAAACCTGTGTAAAACGGAAACCTGTCTTAACGGAATCTCCCCGCTCCCCCCTTGATATATTCCTCTTTAATTACCTGCATAAAACGGAAACCTGTCCAACGCGGAAACGAAAAGAAAAATCCGCTCCCTTCCCAGGGTTTCACCTGTCTAAGACGGGATATGCTTTGCCCGCTCAGCCCTGATTTGAAACAAAACTCGCAAGTTTGATTCCGCCGGCTCTAAACCTAAACTTAACGCCATGGCCATGCCGCTCCGCGAGGAAGGGGAGTAGGGGTCACAGAATTCTACACTAATGTAGAATTCTGTGGTAGGGGTGCAAGTTACCCTATGTTACCCCATCATGTGAGCACTGAGCGCTGCAGATGGTCAGTGCAGTGTGGGTGTGATATCTCACGACTGCCCGTGAGAGTGCTCAAGTGGCCAGCCACTACGGAAACTTTCCTGGGTAGCCAGAAGCCAGAGGTGTGAAATTAGATTGACCAATGCCTGCCGCCCTGATCGTACGGCCAGCTGAGAAAAGAGTTCCTCGAATCGTTGTTACAATGATGACAGTGAGGGGTGGCATTGGTGGGTGGGACTAAGGGGGGAAGAAAAGGAGATGGTCAAACGCTTCTGTTTTTAATAAACAGTGGTCCTATGAAAGGCAAGCACTGGTGGCAATTGGATAAGTAAGACTGACGCATGTCACTATCAGACAGGATAGCAACTGAGAGGTGTGAAGTTTTGACCACTGCTTGCCGATCGGACAAGCGATCCTTGATCCCACCGGCTGGGCCTAAATTCCCCTGTCTAAGACGGAAAATGTCTAAGACGGATTTTTTTCCCCGCTCCCTTGCGATTTCGTCTTACACAGGTTCGACTGTATATATGTATGTATGTATGTATGTATGTATGTATGTATGTATGTATGTATGTATGTATGTGTGTATGTATGTATGTGTGTGTGTGTGTGTGTGCGTGAGTGTGTGTTTGTGTGTGTGTGCGTGTGTGTGTGTGTGTGATAAGCAGCTTTTTAATATTATATTATAACATACATGTCGTGCAACCTAATTAAAACAACATTAGCACAAGAACTCAGCCCAGAGCATACCTAAGAGAGTAGATGCCTGCGGAGTTCTTTGCCTTTGACGGCCACAGCATCAATGATGTCTTTATTGTCCAGTTTGGTCAAGATCTCCTTTTCCACAGACATCAGCATAAATGCCTCAAGATGTTCTGGTGTCCTTGTGTTTTGGAGACAGATTTTGATTTTGTTCGGGGCAGAAAACGACCGTTCGCATGCAACCTGCGACACAGACAGTGTTAGTAGTGGCTTGTAAGCAACCCCAATGTCTTTGTGTAAGCATCGGTGAAGAGGTTCAACTTGAGTAGCACCTTGTAACAGCTGAGAGGGCAATCTTTGCATGAGATACATGTAACAGTGGAACTTAAAACATTTTGTCTGCTCAGTTCTGATTAACAGTAATAACAGTTGATATCGCTGTCTTTCACCTCATAGCGGTCTTCAACTGACTGCTTCAGGTATTTCCATCGTTCTCGAAGGCTTTGCATGCAATTCTGTTCGCAATCCTTCCGCGGTGACGCTAACGTTAAATCTCGGCAAATACTTTTGCAGCTCTTCCATAGCCTCTGATAGGACTTCACCAAAGTTTCTTGGATGAAGAAGGGACAGGTCAGCAAACAATCTTGGCACTGCAGATCCTTTAAATATTTGTTCAATGCTGTTAACAAGGGTGTCTACAATTCGATTGTACACTTCAATACGATAATAATATTTCTTCATTGGGTCAGCTGTTGACGTAGCTTCGTCTGTACAAAATTCACCATCCATTCGTCGCGTCGTCTTTGCCTTTTCAAGGGAAGCGACTCTTCCACGAACGAATCTGACCCGCTCTCTTCCTGTGCATCATTCAGCCACTGAACAAACTTTGCAGCTGCATTTTTAGAAGCTTCGAAGTCCGCCATGAGGGCCGGTATGTTTGACAGCAACTCCGCCACCATCTTGTATTCAGTTAAAAGGTCCAATTGCACGGTTTGCAGATACTGTAGTGCGTGAAAATATTTGCAGATACACTTGCGCTGTGAGAATTGTTTCAAACTTGAGTAGAGTATCAATGTATCCTCGTACTTTAGCTTTTACGACTGTTTGGGTGTTGTCAGCAACAGGTATAGCGTTGAGGCTGGTGATCACTTCAACAAACAGAGCTTCGGGTGGATTGTTGAAAGAACCAAAACCTTCCTTAATTAAGGCAGCATCTTTTGACCAGCATCTGGTCTCACCAATGATTCACAAACGCTTCATAGTTGTCGAGTGCCTCCTCCAGATGTTCATCCACTGACAAGACTCCCGAAAGAACACTGCAACTATGTCCATCAATGTAAATAGCGATGCACTGTTCACTACAGCACTTGTGGCCTCCGAAACAACAAGATTCAATATTTGAGCGTGGCACCAAACATGGATCTGCATTGGAGCTTTGTTTCAAAGCAAAGTACTGAAACCTCTATAGTGTCCCTGAATGTTTGCTGCACCGTCATTTGCGT